TTGCCTCTGAGCTGAAGCTTCTTGCTACTTCTACCCACCACCAATGCCGACACTCAAAGCAGGCACCCGACCGCCGTGGGTCGGCCTAGGAGCGGCAGTGTGGGTGCAAATTGCAGCCGGCAATGCCTACACTTTTCCTCTCTACTCCCACTCCCTGAAGTCGGTTCTGGGTTTCAACCAGCAGCAGCTCACCATGCTGGGTGTGGCCAACGATATCGGCGAGAACGTCGGCCTTATCCCTGGCATCGCTTCCAACAGGCTCCCTCCGTGGCTAATTCTTTTGATCGGCGCTCTCGCCTGCTTTACCGGCTACGGCATCATCTGGCTCACCGTCAGCCGCACCATTCAGCCCCTGCCTTACTGGTTGGTATGTTTTTTTTCCTTCCGATTTTTATAAATTTTGTAGCTTTTCTTGAAAATGTGAGCGTTTCTTATCCAAATCTGTTTGCTTGCAAATTTGACTAACTGGGGTTTCTACAGAAGCACTTCTGCTTATAAGCGCTTACGGTAGAAGTGTTTTTGTAATAAGCCTGTAGAAATTTTGAAGCTTTTTTGACAATTTAAGCATATCATGTTGCTGATCCGATTGTTTGCAAATCTTATTTGGTGGGTTTTTGTTTTAAGACACATTTTAGGACAAATCTGAAGTTAATCGACGGTGAAATGTATTTCTATTACAATTGAAGAGTAATCTGCTGGTGATTTGGAAATTTATTCGGCTTTGACGATGCTATTACTCACATGCTGCTACTTTTTTGTAAGCTTTTGAATAAATTGATGGATTAAAATTGGTGTGCTTTAATTTGATGTTGCCTTGGTTATTACTTGGTTCCATTTAAGAAACTCAGATTTAAGCATCAATTTCTGCATTTAATTATCTTGTGGAGGTTTGCTTATCCAATTAAATGATTGCGGGCCGATGTAGTTTATCTGCAAATGCCATATATATCGTGATTTTCTAACAATTAAGATCTTAAAAAATTAATGATTTTTTCTCTGGTATTGCAGTTATGGCTTGCCCTTTGTGTTGCCACTAATAGTAATGCTTGGTTTAGCACGGCCGTGCTTGTAACCAACATGAGAAACTTCCCTCTAAAGCGTGGCACAGTTGCTGGTATTCTGAAAGGTTACGGGGGTCTCAGCGCAGCTGTATTTACAGAAGTTTATAGTGTTCTGCTTCGTAATTCCTCTTCCAGGCTTCTGCTCTTCCTTACACTTGGGATTCCCGTTCTGTGTTTCACTATGATGTATTTTGTGTGGCCTTGTACTCCGGCTTCAAGTGAAGACCCTGCAGAGCATGGCCACTTTCTTTTCATCCAAGTTGCAAGCGTTGTGCTTGGATTATACGTTCTCTCAACTACAATATTGGATGATACCATTTCCTTAAGTGCTCCAATTACCAACACTTTTGTCGTCGTAATGGTTCTACTTCTTATGGCCCCACTTGCAGTCCCTGTAAAAATGACATTGTATCCCACAAGAACCAGCAAATCGGGGATGCTTGGTCAAGCGGTTGGGTCTTCAAGTAGTTTGAACGATGAAGAAGGCACTGCAGACAAAACTGAACCACTAATGAAGCCATCTTCATCGACAGCGAGCCTGGTAAGTTTAAATGAAGGTTATGATTCATCTGACGTGGCTTTGCTTCTAGCTGAGGGTGAGGGGGCAGTGAAAAGAAAGAGACGGCCCAGAAGAGGGGAAGACTTCAAATTTAGTGAAGCTGTGGTGAAGGCTGACTTCTGGCTTCTATTCTTTGTTTACTTTTTCGGGGTTGGTTCGGGGGTAACTGTTCTCAATAATCTAGCCCAAATCGGGATTGCACAAGGATTTCATGATACAACAGTCTTGCTGTCTCTCTTCAGTTTTGGAAATTTTGTTGGTCGTCTTGGAGGAGGAGTTGTTTCCGAACATTTTGTCAGGTCAGTAACATTACCTTGTGCCTAATCTACAATATATATCCAAATGGATGTCCTTTTGATTTAGAGAAACTTCTCTTTGCAGGTCGAAAACAATCCCTCGGACAGTTTGGATGACGTGCACTCAAATTATAATGATCGCCACATATCTGCTGTTTGCTTCTGCCATCAGCGCAACCTTTTATCCTGCAACGGCATTACTTGGAATCTGCTACGGTGTCCAATTTTCTGTCATGATCCCAACTGTCTCGGAACTCTTTGGCTTGAGGGATTTTGGCATATTTTACAATTTCATGTCACTAGGGAATCCTCTGGGTGCACTGCTTTTTTCAGGCCTCTTAGCCGGGTACGTATATGATAACGAGGCAGCGAAGCAGCATGGGATTCATCTCTACGGGACAAATATCTCCTGCGTGGGTCCGAATTGCTTTAGGCTCACCTTCCTGGTTCTCGCTGCTGTCTGTGGCGTCGGTACCATCTTAAGCATCGTTCTGTCTTTAAGGATAAAGCCTGTTTACCAAATGCTTTACTCTGGGGGCTCCTTCAGGGTACTTCCAAATACAAACCATTAAGATCAAGGAGCGGCCGGGGGAGCTCAAACTGTCTAGAGAGCCATCATACTCAAGCATATTTCAATACAACTACAACAGTCCGAGACGCATGTAAAAAGTTTCGTTTTTAGTTTCTCAAATCTATCTCAGAACCAAAGAATCAACACATGTGGAGGCTCTAGGTTGTTTGTACAATTCTGAACTGCTGTTTGTGCAATTTTTTCAGGTTTTTGTGTGCTATATACTGCGGTTGGAGACTTTTAGCTCTCCAGTGTATCCTATGAACTATACTCCACCCTCCGGCATCAATGACGAGTACAAAACCTGTAACGGGTTCGTTCGCCCTCACGAGGACGTGCCTCGTAGGGACAAATTAAAAATTTTGGTTGCAGCTTTCAATCCTGAGAAAGACTTGGTTTTGAGAGTGATTGTGTAATTGAATGAATGTAGCTGCCGAATAAAGCTGTAGTAGTAGTGTTTGATATTTTGTTGGGTGGAAAGTACTGTTGATGTGTTGTTGAAGCAGAATCCTGAAAGTTTGTTGTGGAAATTACTTTTATTTATTTGTCCTTTGATTCTCCGAGATAGAAGGGAAATCACTTCCGTTCTTTTACCCCATTGAAAACATATATGTTTCAAGAAATTACAATTAACTGATGGGCAATTCAAATCAACCGGTATATATATTTAGGGCTTTCCATTCCCATCTAAGAACACACGAGGATGCAGAGGAAAGTAATACGGTGAGAAAAAACATCAAACATCCTCCCTTTCCTTCTCAAAAGGAGTGCAAAACTTTGGGCTCACAATTCTCCCATCCAACTGCCCAGAAAGTCTTGGACTTTTATTTGTGGCTATGACCTTCTCATGCGTTCTTCCATCCAACGGTCCAGATAACTTGAGACTCAAACTTGCAACCAAAGGACTGGTCAGCCTTGGTCTCCTATTTGTGTACATTAAACTCTCATGAACCTTCCCATGCAACGGTCCAGATAGCTTCAAGCATGGATTATTATGAGCCACCAATCTCTCCTGAACTCTCCCATCCAACGGCCCAGCAAGCGCAATGCTCCTAGTCTTACCAACCATAGGCTTCTCATCCTTGACCTCCTCACTGCAACTCTTGTGCTTCCTCAACAAGGCTCCTCTCCAATGCTCTTGATATCGAGTTGGCTCAGCCAGAGTTGCACCCCTACTGTCGAAAGACTCCTCCTGAAAAACCAACTTGTTAAAGTACTTGGATGGCACTTCTGGTTCGAATGAGTGCCCAACTTAGCCGGGAAAGCGACTTCTGGTGCCCTAATCTGGTTTCTTTCTTGGTAAGTTTGAGTATTTCTAGCCTATGCTTGGCTACAGATATTCCCATGCTGATCTGCAAGAACTCGTGGTCGCAGTAGCTCACATCGCCGAGCTGCAGCTGGTTGCGAGACGAGGCCATATTCGTAGATGAGGAGGGTTAAGGCCGACTTTTGACAGCCATGAGAACCAGTTCATAGCTGAGCTTAAGGTAAAATGTGCCTGAGGCCTGAGGGGTTATGTTGTTATGTGGTGATACATTTTGTGAAGGCCAATAATTAGTAATAGGTGGTTTAGTTGGGATAATAGCGTTGATATTGATGGATGGATCTGCATGGACCTATAAAGTTTATCATGATAATAGAGCATGCTATTTTTTGACACGTCTTGGCCTGATTTACTGGCCTTGAATTTGCCATCTTAAGTTGGCATTTTAAAAAACATTTCACAAGCTCTAGCTTAAAGATATTGAATGATGAGACTTCAAAAAGTTACATTGGCTTTAGTATAATGACTTGATAAGTTGTCTGTGAGAATTTGTTCCCTTGTGATCCTAGGTGGGGTCAATTGTGAGAGGATTTGTTGGAGAATAGAATCCGGCATTGGTCATATGACAAAATAATATATAATTTATATTTGAGAGTTTATGTACCTAATAACATCAACACTTAGTAATAAGTAGTTAAGTTGTTACAATATCGGTAATATTGATGGTGGACCTACATGAGCTTATAAAGTTTATCAACTGCTGGCCAAAGGGCACACTTACCTAACCTCGTAAATATTGTACTTGTTTATTTTGTATTCTACTGCACACATCGTCTATCTCACAACAGATTTAACATTCACTATTGATACATTCACAGTATATACTATGAGCCGTATATTATGAAAAATAAATTATACACGATATTTGTCAACATATTAAAAATTCTAGGGGCATTTTTGCAATTTTCCCAAAAGGAGAAAAAGAAAAAGCAAATGTCAAATGGAAGAAAGTCAAGAGACGAAAACCGTTATATAAAAATCCCAAATGGAAAATGTCAAGTCATAACTTCCCACACCAACAGGTTTCATTCAGATAAACTTCCCTCCGCCTCCTCCTTCTGTTACTTGTACCCCTTCTTGCTGCTGCTGAGCTGAAGCTTTTTGCTACTTGTACCCACGACCAGTGGCGACACTCCAAGCAGGCACCCGACCGTCGTGTGTCGGCCTAGGTGCTGCAGTGTGGGTGCAAATGGCTGCCGGCAATGCCTACAATTTCCCGCTCTACTCCCACTCGCTGAAGTCGGTTCTGGGTTTCAACCAGCAGCAGCTTACCATGCTTAACCATGGACTTGGACACTTGGAGACACTTGTCAAATACTCTAATGCAAATGGTTAGTATGTACACTTGGCTCTACAACCCGCGAGTTATTAGCCGCATGTTTCATGTCGAAGGGAGCCCAACAATGCATGTATATCTATCCATTACTTGGTGAATAAGTAGGTGTGTTGAGCCTCACAGTTTCTCCAATCAAAGCATAGTTGTAACCGCTTCATTTTAGTGTTTCCTATAAATAGCAAGCCATTCTATACAATCCCATTCATATTATATCTCCACCCCTCTCTTTAGCCACGTTGCATGCATGCAGTAGCCTTACATGCATAATATACATAGAAAGAAAAGAGAGTGGAAGAAATAGATGGCGTTAGGAGTGATCAACGAGCTTATTCAAGTAGATTGAGCTTAGTTATAGCGGTGGTGACGTGGATCTTCGCTTTAGCTTTGGAATCGAGGTAGGAGGTTTCTTGGGGAACTTATCACTATTGGGTATTTGTCTTGTTTAAGCTTTGTGAAATATGTGTTATACTTAATGTGTTTATAACTGATATAACTGTTTTGTATTGGAACTGATATATTATTGTTATTTTCAATAATGTGGATGTTGTGATAATGTTGATCATATGCATATATCATTTCATATCGGAGTAGATGGATTTTATTGGTATATTCAAAGATTGAGTTATGGAAATAGAACTATATTTTGTGTGGTTGAGTTCAGCTCTTGTAGGGACCAGCAAGGGTTGTAAAAGTGAAATTATAGGAATGGTATGAAGTAATGGGGACTTTGCAATCAAGAGAAAAACATAAGTGCGGCGAGCGCGGAGACTATTCTTCTTTCTTAAGATGACCAACAAAATGGAAAATTTGGGATGATAGAGTTACGGGTGTGAGTTTATATAATAAAGCTTTCAGACCACCGATGCAGTGGTAGAATGCATGAGATTGGACGTGCAGGTTCGCTTGAATTATTATATAAATTAACGGGTTGGGTAATTGAAGTTTATATAATAAAGCCTTGTACGATAAAACGCAACACTTAGTACTAGGTGGTTACATTGGAATCATATCGGTAATATTGGTGGTGAACCTACAGGAGCCTATAAAGTTTATCAACTCCTACCCCAAAGGTACACTTGTCTAACTTCGTAAATATTGTGCTTATTTATTTTATATTCCACTGCACATATTGTCTATTTCATAACGAATTTAACATTCACTATTGATATATGAGCAGTAAATTAAGAAGGAAATAAAATTCACAATACGATATTTGTCCACATTTTAACAATTCAAGGGGCATATGTGCAATTTACCCAAAAAAAAAAAGAAAAAGAAAAAGCAAATATCACATGCACGAAAGTCAAGACGAAAACGGTTATATAAACCCAAATGGCAAATGCCAATTCATAACTTCCTACACCAACAGAATTTTCATTCGGACAAACTAATCACCGCCTTCATCTTCTGCACTCGTACCCCTTCTTCTTGCCTCTGAGCTGAAGCCTTTTGCTACTTGTACCCACCACCAATGGCGGCACTCAGCAGGCACCCGACGGCCGTGGGTCGGCCTAGGAGCGGCGGTGTGGGTGCAAATTGCAGCCGGCAATGCCTACACTTTCCCGCTCTACTCCCACTCCCTGAAGTCGGTTCTGGGTTTCAACCAGCAGCAGCTCACCATGCTGGGTGTGGCCAACGATATCGGCGAGAACTTCGGCCTTATCCCCGGATTCGTTTCCAAGAAGCACCCGCCGTGGCTAATTCTTTTGATCGGCGCTCTCGCCTGTTTCTTCGGCTACGGCCTCATCTGGCTCACCGTCAGCAGCACCATTCTGCCCCTGCCTTACTGGATGGTATGTTTTCTTTCCTTCCGATTTTTATAAATGTTGAAGCTTTTCTTAACAATGTGTAGCTTTTCTTGTTCGTTCTTGAAAATGTGTAGCTTTTCTTGTTCTTGAAGATTTGTAGCTTTTCTTGTTCGTTCTTGAAAATGTGTAGCTTTTCTTGATCCAAATCTGTTTTCTTGCAAATTTGACTTAGTGGGATTTTTACAGAAGCACTTCTGCTTGCTTATAAGCGCTTATGCTAAGGTGTTTTTGCTATAACATGTACAAATTTTGATGCTTTTTCGACAATTTGAGCATATCATGTTGCTGATCTGATTGTTTGCAAATATGATTTGGTGGGTTTGTTTTAAAGAAAGGTTTTGTAGGATTGGTGATATTTGAGTTTGATAGAGCGATTTTGCATCCGGATTGTTTTAATTTTGACACTACCAGGAGTTACTTTATTCTGTTCTGGAAAATGAACAACACAGATATTGTTGAAGAATGTAAGAAGTAGCGTATCGGAAATTGACAACATAAAATACAATGGTTCTACTAGTATCGAGGCATTTTGTGAGAAAACTCACACCTTCCGTGTTGTGCAGGTGATTATATGTAAGTTGGGGACAATATCGATGTTGATTAGTAAACTATGACAAATCTGAAGTTAATCGATGGTGAAATGTTTTTCTATTACAATTGAAGAGTAATCTGCTGGTGATTTGGAAATTTATTCGGCTTTGACGATGCTATTACTCATCTGCTGGTGATTTGGAAATTTATTCGGCTTTGATGATGCTATTACTCACACGCTGCTACTTCTTCGTAAGCTTTTGAATAAATTGATAGATTAAACCATTAATGATTTTGTTCTGGTATTGCAGTTATGGATTGCCCTTTGTGTTGCCGCTAATAGTAATGCTTGGTTTACCACGGCTGTGATTGTTACCAACATCAAAAACTTCCCTCTACAGCGTGGCATAGTTGCTGGTATTCTGAAAGGTTACGCGGGTCTAGGCGCAGCTGTATTTACAGAAAGTTATCGTGTTCTGCTTGGTAATTCCTCTTCCAGGCTTCTGCTGTTCCTTACACTTGGAATTCCCGTTCTGTGTTTCGCTAGCATGTTTTTTGTGAAGCCTTGTACTCCGGCTCCAAATGAAGACCCTGCAGAGCGTGGCCGCTTAGATTTCATCCAAGTTTCAAGCTTTGCGCTTGGATTCTATGTTCTCTTAACTGCAATATTGGATGATAACATTTCCTTAAGTGCTCCAATTACCAACACTCTTTTCGTTGTAATGGTTCTACTTCTCATGGCCCCACTCGCAATCCCCGTTAAAATGACATTGTATCCCACACCAGCCGGCGAATTGGGAATGCTTGGTCAAGCGGTTGGATCTCCAGGTAGTTTGAACGATGAAGGCGGCACTGCAGACCTAACTGAACCGCTACTGGAGCCATCTGGCGTGGTTGGATCTCCAGGTAGTTTGAAAGATGAAGAAGGCACTGCAGACATAACTGAACCACTACTGGAGCCATCTGGCGTGGTTGGATCTCCAGGTAGGTTAAATGAAGGTCATGATTCATCGGACGTGCCCTTGCTTCTTGCCGAGGGCGAGGGGGGAGTGAACGAAAAAAGAAAGCTAGGGGAAGATTTCAAATTCATTGAAGCTGTGGTGAAGGCTGACTTCTGGCTTCTATTCTTTGTTTTCTTTTTCGGGGTTGGCTCGGGGGTAACTGTTCTCAATAATCTAGCCCAAATTGGGGTTGCACAAGGATTTGATGATACAACATTCTTGCTGTCTCTCTTCGGTGTTGGAAATTTTGTTGGTCGTCTTGGGGGAGGATTTGTTTCGGAACGCTTTGTCAGGTCAGTAACATTATCCTTGTGGCTAATCTATCTTCAATGCAAATCCAAATTGATGTCCTTTTGATTCAGAGAAACTTCTTCTCTTTGCAGGTCGAAAACAATCCCTCGGACAGTTTGGATGACGTGCACTCAAATCATAATGTTCGCCACATACCTGCTGTTTCCTTCTGCCATCAACGCAACCTTTTGTACTGCAACGGGAATACTTGGAGTCTGCTACGGTGTCCAATTTTCTGTCATGATCTCAACTGTCTCGGAACTCTTTGGCTTGAAGGATTTTGGCACACTTTACAATTTCATGGCACTAGGGAATCCTCTGGGTGCACTACTCTTTTCAGGCCTCCTAGCCGGGTACGTATATGACAACGAGGCAACGAAGCAGCAGGGGATTCATCTCTACGGGACAAATGTCTCCTGCGTGGGTCCGAATTGCTTTAGGCTCACCTTCCTGGTTCTTGCTGCTGTCTGTTTTGTCGGTAGCATCTTAAGCATCGTTCTGTCTTTAAGGATAAAGCCCTTTTACCAAAATCTTTACGCTGGGGGCTCCGTCGGGGTACTTCCAAATACAAACCAACAAGATCAAGGAGCGGCGAGTGCAAGTTGAACTGTCTAGAGAGCCATCATACTCAAGCCTATCTCGATACATCTACATCAACTATCTGAGACGTATGTAAAAAGTTTTAGCTTCTCAAATCCATCTTCAGAACCAAAGAATCAACACATGTGGAGACTCTAGGCCATTTACCTCAACACTCGGCCGTCCGGCATAAATGAGACCACTAGGAGACCTACAACGGATTCCTTCGTTCGGTCTCACGAGGACATGTCGTATAGGGACAGATTACAAAATTTTCGTTATAGCTTTCAATCATCAGAAAGAGTAGGTTTTTGAGTAATTGTGTATATCAGTGTTGATGTGTTGCTGAAGCAGAATCGTGAAAGCTTTCTGTAAAGCTAGTACTTTTTTCTAGGAAACGATTTACTTCTGCACACTTTCTTATTTGTCCTTTGATTCCCCGAGAAAAAAGAGAGGTGCGGAAATCACTTCCCTTATTTTCCCCATTGAAAACATATAATGTTTCAAGATATTAAAACTAACTGATGGGCAAATCAAATCAACCAGTAAATATATTTAGGGCTTTCCATTCCCATCTAAAAACACAAGAGGATGCAGAAGAAAGTAATACACTGTAGAAAAACCATCAAACTTGTAGGAACACACAAAAAAATGAACATATATCTTGTCATGTTGTCGCGGTACATCCCTTTGTGTAACCGAAGCAAACAGATATGTCTCCGGTAGTACGGCATATTCTCTCTTGTTAGGACAAAACCAACCAAACACAAACTTCAAGTTGGTTTCAGATCCTGAAACAGTGCAGTCCAGAGTGAATGATCATCGTAATCAACATCCTCCCTTTCCTTCTCATAAGGAGAGCAAAACTTTGGGCTCACAACTCTCCCATCCAACTGCCCAGAAAGTCTTGGACTTTTGTTTGGGGTCATGATCCTCTCATGCGTTCTTCCATCCAACGGTCCAGATAACTTGGGACTCAAACTTGCGAACGAAGGACCGGTCAGCCTTGGGCTCCTATTTGTGTACATTAACCTCTCATGAACTTTCCCATCCAACGGTCCAGATAGCTTCAAGCTTGGATTATTATGAGCCATCAATCTCTCCTGTACTCTCCCATCCAACGGCCCAGAAAGCGCAATACTCCTAGTCTTAACAACCATAGGCTTCTCATCCTTGACCTCCTCACTACAACTCTTATGCTTCCTCAACAAAGCTCCTCTCCAATGCTCTTGATATCGAGTTGGTGTTGCCGGAGTTGCACCCCCACCGTCGAAAGACTCCTCCTGAAAAACCAACTTGTTAAAGTACTTGGAGAAGCACTTCTTGGTCCGAATGAGCGCCCAACTTAGCCGGGAAAGCGACTTCGGGTGCCCTAATCTGGTTTCTTTCTTGGCAAGCTTGAGTATCTCTAGCCTATGCTTGGCTACAGATATTCCCATGCTCTGCAAGAACTCGTGGTCGAAGTAGTTCACGTCGTCGAGCTGCAGCTGGTTGCGCGTAAAGACGACGCCGTAGTCGTAGATGAGGGAGGGTTCAAGGCCGGTTTTTGACAGCCATGTGAACCAGTCCATAGCTTAGCTTAAGCTAAAATGTGCCTGAGGCCTGAAGGGTTATGTTGTTATGTGGTGATACATTTATACGAGAAGGAGATGATGATATAAAATGATAAAGTGGGAAGGAAAATAAATAAAATTAAATGTGGTGGATAAATAATGGGGCCTTAGAAAATTTGGATGGTTGTTGGGACTGGATGTGACATTAGCAATATCCTGGAAGTTGAGGATGAGCTTAACGACCTCGTGATCTGGATTCCGAAAATCTCTGTCTAGAACAATTTAAATTCTGTTTGACATTAGATGGCTGGTCATCGTCTCGATTAATTCTTAGGTGATTTCATTTTCCCAATCTCATGTTCATGATTCAACCCGTCTCTGCCCTATGCAAATACTTCGTTATTCTACATGTTTTAGTAAACAGAAACTAAATCATAAAAACTGAATAGTTCTAGACTTCTAGTAATCACTTGTTCAATGATATAGAGCACAAGTCCAAATTACATGTGAGATTGGGCAGGTAAATACTAAATATGATTGATGAAAACTCAAAGCTACAGCATAAGGTTATAGGGCCCAAAATTGAGGGGAGCAGTTAGGATATTGAATTGGATAACCTACTACCACTTGATGAAAATCATTAAGGCAAAGTTTAACACGCCAGCAGATTTTAGAGAGATTTTTCAACGTGTCCAGAATACGGGATGATATGTCATATATTATTATACAAGTAGGAAATTTTTTTTTTCAAGTGTTTTTCAAACACACTGAAAAATCTCTTCCAGTTTTAAGGGTCCAATAACTTTATTTTACTCCAACTCATTGCTATTAACTGCTTTACCTGCTAGATTGTGACAATGTTTCTTCCCCAAAAAGTGATATGACTTAATAACCTACTACAAATCTGCAACATTCTTTAAATCACATTTAATCTTGTCAACCTACCGTTACCGCTTATCCCCGTAGAATAAATAAAGACAAAAAGTAACGTAGTTTTGGAGAAATTTTTCAGTATTAGGTACATAATCCAGTACACCAATTGTTATAATACAATTAGTTGAATTTTTTTTTCTTCAAGTTTTCAACTGATATATATATATATATATGTGTGTGTGTGTGTGTGTGTGTATTTAACAAATGATATTATTTACATTAAGGGGATGAAGGAGTGGGCTAAGTCGCACAATGGGCTAACAATAATATGATTCAAATTCGCATTTGGCAATAATCGAACCTGAGATCTCTCATTTACTAAGTGAAGAAGAATACTACTAGACTGTAGTACTAAGTGACAACTGATTATATTATTATATTTGGTGTAACGAGTCGTGTGCTTAGTACAATGAAAAATCTTTCGTAGTTTTGGGCAGTGGAAGTCATTTACTGTAGTCTACTGCTCATACAAGAATTATATGCTTATAGTTGTAGAACGATAGTTAGAGTTCATCTACAAACAATTTACTCTTCCAAACTTTGTAATTAGTATTTTGATCAATTTACCAAGTTTTTACACATTAATATAACGTAGGAAAAAAAAAAAAAAAGAGATGACCAAAGTGGATAAATTAATTTATCTAAAGTGGTTCGAAATTGGCAATAAATCACCCAAGAGAGAAACATCAAACTTAAGCATTAAGTATGATGTTAGAAAGGGAAACAAGGTGGATATTTGAGATTTTTCGGATAGCATGAGTACAATACAAGCGTGACAAAATTCGGCAAGGTGTATAAAGAGTACTTTCTTTCCTGTTACGTTTTGGGAATATTACAAAACATTTAGGGTTACTTAGAATCTTTAATTTTCTATTTAAGTCAACCTATGAAATTGTATTCGCTAGATCTGTTATATTTTCGATTTATGTTCTTTCATCCTCTTGTTTTCGATAAATTCTAACTCGATGAATTTGTAACCCATCTGATCAATCTATGTGTGGAAAATCGACTGAGAAGACGCAAATAGACCCAAGCCACAAACTAACTTTTGAAAAAACCGTTACAATCAGGTTCAGTCAAAACCCTTGAAGTGCCAACCACTGTTCCCGCTCCAAAGGCGTACCCGATTCCGTACCATCCTCTCTCCCTCTCACCCTCTCACCCTCGCCTATTTATAATCTCCACCGCTTCCAAATTTGACAAGAAAAATCTCTATCACCCCTTTAATTTAATTCTCTGTATGTTTTTTCGCATCTAAACTTCAACTAGCTCGCCATATACGTCAGAAACCCTAACCCTAAAGACCGTAGACTCATAGTATGTTTTCACGGGCATCTTCGAGGGGATCCTCAGGGTCCATCCACCGGCTTTTTTCGGATGTTAAAAGCCTCAGCTCTCGTCCTCCATTCAACAAATCGCAACCCTCCTCCTCGGTCGCTTCATCGCCATCTTCTTCTTCTTCTTCACTCAGCTCATCGGTTGGCAGATTTGGCTATGGTGGCAGTCATAATGGTAGATCAGGCTCCGATAACACTTTTGATTTGTTGCTGAGATCCGTTTCTTCGGGGGTTCTGATTCTCGGGACCAGTCTAGGGTTTTCGTATTGGTCTTCTTCTTCTCTGGATCCAAATTCCTACGTTTCTTACGCTGATAATTATCCCAAGGAGGCGGCATTTGCAATCGGCGAAGATACAAACAAAACTCAGTTTTCCCTCTTTGATGGTACCTTGTTTGTTTCTTTGTTTTCTTCAACTTATCTGTGTATCGTGTTTTCCGAGGTTTCTGTTATGTTTTACCCTGATGGATCTCGTCTCAGTTTCATATAGGAGAAGAAAATTCTTTACGTATGAAAAGCGGCTCCGAGATCAAAGTCCTCCGGAGAAGGTATGGATCATGCACTCCTCGGAAAATTGATTTTTATAAGTTGTAATTTTGTTTGTTTGATGATTGTCGTGGTTGCAAACACTACATGCTTGTGTTTTGTGTTGTGTGCTTGTGGTTTTCAGCTATTCGACTACTTTGCATCGGTTAAAAACCCCAACGGAGAGGCGTTTATGACGCCGGCAGACTTGATGAGAGCGGTGGTTCCTGTATTTCCTCCCTCAGAATCAACCCACGTTAGAGTGGGGTCTCTGAGAGGGGAGAAGGTTCCCAGCAAGCAGCAGTACGCTCCTTCCAAATTCTTTATGCTTTTCGACACTGACGGAGATGGCCTGATTTCCTTCCCGGAGTGAGTAATCTTGATACCACAATGATTCTAGCCTAATTGAAATTTGTTAAGATCTAAAACAACGTATACGTGTTCCTTCTTGATATGATCAGGTTCATCTTCTTCGTCAACCTCCTCAGCATCCCTGAATCGAGCTTTACGATTGCGTTTAAAATGTTTGATCTCGACAACAGCGGGTGGGTTAAAATCGCCATCGCCTTCTCAGTCGTAAAAATCTTTCATTGTAATGTACTGCTAGTAGAAAACTTAATTAACTTGTTACACTTGTGATTCACAGAGACATTGATAAGCTGGAGTTTAATAAAGTCATGTCCTTGATGCGATCTCAAAGCAAACAAAACACGGATAGCCACAGGCTCAATGTTTCTGTCGAAGACGGAGGCCTACTCGAGTACTTCTTCGGCAAAGACGGCAAAAAAAGTCTAAAACTTGAAAGATTTGTTCAGTTTTTCCGGGATTTACACGAAGAAGTATGCGATTTTTTCTTAGGGTTGTGATTGTATCAAGCTATTTTTTCTGTCAGCTGATCCTTTTCCTGTCTCTTTTTCTTCCTCTGTTTTCGAATTTGAAAGATTTTGCGATTGGAGTTTGCTCACTACGACTTCAGAGCACAAGGAACCATATTGGCTAAAGACTTCGCGTTCTCCTTGGTTGCATCTGCTGATAGCGGTGAAATAAACAAGTTGCTTGATCGGGTGGACGAAATTGATAATGACGCACGTCTTAAGAACATAAGAATCACATACAAGGAATTCAAAGATTTCGCGGAGCTCCGTAAGAACTTGCAGTCCTTCTCTCTGGCCCTTTTCAGTTACGGAGAAGTTAACGGAGTGTTGACGAAAAGTGATCTCCAGAGAGCTGCTTCCCGAGTACTCATCTGATCTGTCATTGTCATTTCTAGGTAGCTTCGTTGGTCATTAACTAGTAGCTTATTGTGCTAATGCTTTGATCACTTTCAATTTATACAGGTATGTGGCATCTCTGTTTCTACCAATGTGCTTGACATAATATTCCATCTATTCGATGCAAATGGTGACGGAGATTTAAGCGCAAATGAGTTCGTGAGAGTTTTACAAAGTCGGGGAGGCGAAACGCAAGAGACAGGCATAAGGGGACTCCTATCTTGCTGGTTTAATTGTGCTGGTAAAGCTTTTGGTCAGAACAACTGCAGCTCTGGTTTCTAAGATCATACATGGATTACCTTCAACTCACGTAACCAAATGTTGTTTACGGCTCTAATCTAGGGTTGGAGCCGAAAAGATGTAATTAGCGAATCTGGCTGGGTTTGTGATTGAAGGATTATATATCACAGCAGGCTGATCTTACCAATTTTTGTAACCCTACATAACCATAATCACTTCAAACTAATACATAAGTGCAGATATCTTTGTTAATTTGTGTACCAATATTTTCTGCTAATGGCGCCGATTTTGCACAACTGATACGCATAACATCACAGATATTTAGCATCAAGGACAAGATAAGAATTGCAAAATCTAATCCGAAGATCATAACGTATGCTAGCATGAGAAACCAGTATTCGGAAAGAAATTTGATTGAGGAAACACATTCAATGTCTTGACATTGATGGTCTTCATTGGCTATTTACACACAAAAATACATGCATAAATGCAGTGAAAGCAGACCATATCAAGACTCCAACTGATCCGAAAAATTCTCTCCGAAAGCCTAATGCACTGCTAATCGATCATAGCAACTACAAGGCAACAAAAGAATTCATCTTCTGAGGCTTACCCGGCTCAAGTGCAAGGCGAGGACATCCCTCATCCGCTCGTCACTCTCGTTCACTTGTCCATCAAAAACAGGAAGCTCCTCCTCCTTTAAGCCCCTCACA